ACCCACCTCTGGGTGACATCTTTCACAAGCGGACAACACCAGGCAAGTGACATGAGGTCAAAGACAGATGCCAGGGCAGGGGCGCGTGCACACACACACACACACACACACACACACACACACACACACACACTGGGGCTGAAATGGATACGGCACCCATCCGGTACCCCTACACTTTCAGTTAGAGAAGGATATGGGGTGGAGACACAGTCAGGAATATATTACTCCTCATCTAGGCCTCCAGTGCACCCAAACAGTGACGCAACCCAACGTACACACATAAATGTCCATAACCCACACCAGCCAGGGGGCAACAGCAAGGAAGGGAGAAGTGGCACCCATAGTCCCACCCCCGGGACAAGCCAGTGTCCCAAACATACTGCATTTCTCTTAGGTTTGGCCTGCCTGGGAAGCCAGGGACTGGCCACTCCTGCTCCCAAAATAGGCTGCCCAGCTAGGCGAGGGGTGAGGCCGGGAGGGGAGGGGTAGGGGACGCTCACCCCAATCAGGCTGTCCCCTGCTGGAAGCAGGCCCCCAAGTCTGGCTGTGACCGGGCAAGCACTTTGGACCCCCTGGCCCAGAGCTGGATGCACCGCCCCCAGCGATCTCCCCTCCCAGCCCCACCCCAGTTATGCCCTCCCCAACCAGCAGCTGTAACTGGAGCTGGTGCTGGAGGGGGGCCAGGGGGCGGCCCCCAGCCCAGACCGCCCTGGCCCGCTAAGTTAACTCTCTCCGCTCAGATAGAGGAACAGTAGACAGCCACGTTTCGGAAAGCTGGAGAAAGGAGGTCCTGGCAGAGAGGACTGGATTGCAGACACGCACACGCACACGCACACACACGCACACGCACATGCCTCAGGCCTGTCTCAGACAGCTTCTGAGCTGGACTGAGGGGTGTCAATAATTTTCTGTGCTGTTCCCTGGGAATTGGGCTTAGATGGAGCCGAAGGCCACCTAGCCTGAGTGTTGAGGAGCCCACTGACCCAGACTCCAGTGTTCTTCGGAGCCCCGGTCAGCAAGCAGCACAGGACTGTTTGGGGGACATTTCAGTGTGTGTACGTGTTGTTCACTGCTGACTGTTTAGTCCCTCAGGAATGTGCCTGTGTGCACACACAGAGAAACCCACAGACCCAGATAAACAGGCAAAAAAGCACACAAACACATGTACGTATGTACATACAAACAGGCAGACACACACAGAATAACACACTCATAGAGAAACCCAAAGACGCACACACAACCAGCACCTCTTACACCAGTCACAAAACACCAAGACAAACACATTTGCTCACCCATGTTCATTCAGATGTATACCTGTACATAGGCACAATCAAAGACACAGCCCACCCTAGCCCCACTTACAAACGGTCACAAAGATACACACTCTTTTTTTTTTAAAGCTAGGCAAGGGATTATTTCTTTCTTTCTTTTTCTTTTTTTAAAAATATACTTTATTGATTTTTTACAGAGAGGAAGGGAGAGGGATAGAGAGTTAGAAATATCGATGAGAGAGAAACATCAATCAGCTGCCTCCTGCACACCCACCACTGGGGATGTGCCCACAACCAAGGTACATGCCCTTGACCAGAATCGAACCAGGGCCCCTTCAGTCCGCAGGCTGCCACTCTATCCACTGAGCCAAACCGGTCAGGGCAAGATACACACTCTTATGAACACCCCAATGCACACGTGCCACACAGAAATACACTCAAAGACATAGGCACACAGCCAGCACGCCTATACGCTCTCAGAGATGTGAAGTCCACAAAGTTGTGTACACATGCCCACAGACACACACACATTTACATTGGCACACAGAGAAGCAGAAACACTGTCAAGGACACAGCCAGAAAAGCAGCCACTCTTACACATAACCACAGAGACAGACACACACCACCTGTGAGCACAACCTCATGCACCGGCAAACAAGCACACAGCTGGCCACACTGTCACAGACATAATAGGCCTACATGCTTTTGTTCACACATTGACACCATCAAACATGAGTTGACGTATTTAACCCTGAACTTCCCCTTCCCTGAGCTCATGTGGCCTCTAGGATCTCCTGGAGGACACCACAGCTGGCGTCCCCATAGGCAGGCCAAATTCACAAGGCACTGGTGACAGAGAAATCTGGGCTCAGGTCTAGACTCTGCCATTCCTGGTTGTGTGAACTTGAGCAGTCCATCTGACCTCTCTGTTCCTCAGCTTCCCATCCTATAAAATGGAGAAATAACTGAGGTCAGACTGTAACCTCAGGCCAAGCTCAGAAGTCTCTGGCCAGACATTGTCTTATTATTAACCCCATTTTAGAGATGAGCAAACCTAGGCTGCCAGATATTGTCTTATTAACCCCATTTTAGAGATGAGCAAACCTAGGCTGAGCAAAGTGGAGCTACTAGTAGTTCTCCGGGGGTCCCCCTGGTGGTTAAGGGCAGGAACTGCTCCCCTTTCAGTCAAAGGTCAGAAGCAGGCCCAGACCTCAGGCTCTGCAGGACACAGAGTCAGGGGACGTGTGCATACGCACACTCGGCACCGGCGTAGGCCTGGCACACACATACATGTGTGCACACAGCCTCAGAGGACCTGCAGAGCTTCGAAAGGCTCCCTCATCCCCATCTTTCTGAGCCTTTAGCCTCTGCTCACCCTGGGCCTGCACCCCAGGGTCACCAGCAGTTCCTGGTTAATGATAACCCTGATGTTTATGCAGCACTGGGGAGGGGTGACAGGGAGCAAGGAGGTGAGCCTGGAGGGGGGCACCTGGCCAGCTCTAGCCAATCCTTAGCTTCCTCCCCTCTTAGAGCCAGTTGGCTCCAGATTAGAGTGGCTCAGCCACTTTCTAGCTGTGTGATGCTGGGCACATGACTTAACCTCTCTGTGGCTCAGTTTCTTCTTCTGTAAAATGGAGATAATAATAGTATTCACCTTACAGGGAGGTTGGAATGATTATCGGAAATGATCCGTGTAGTCCTAACCGGTTTGGCTCAGTGTACAGAGTGTCAGCCTGTGGACTGAAGGGTCCCAGGTTTGATTCCGGTCAAGGGCATGTACCTTGGTTGTGGGAACATCCCCAGTAGGAGGTGTGCAGGAGGCAGCTGATCGATATTTCTCTCTCATCGATGTTTCTAACTCTCTAAACCTCTCCCTCTCCCTTCCTCTCTGTAAAAAATCAATAAAATATATTTGAGGGGGAAAAAAGGAAGAAATGATCCATGTAAAACATTTAGAACAAATGCCTGGCACACAATAAGTGACCATCATCATCGTCCTTGCTGGGCTGGGCATGCTGTGAGTGCCCCCTCTGAAAAAAAAGAAAGAAATGATCCATGTAAAACATTTAGAACAAAGCCTGGCACACAATAAGTGACCATCATCATTGTCCTTGCTGGGCTGGGCATGCTGTGAGTGCCCCCTCTGTACCCTGGAACTAAGTCCTTTATATTTTTAAAGGCCCTGTAAGGAATTTTAATATCCCTCCTTTATAGCTGAGGTAACCAAGACCCAAGGGCCTTGCTCAAATCACACAGCTGTTTGGGTGCAGGTGTGCACTTAGGTCCAGGGCCCACCCCAAGCCCACCAACCACTGGGCAATGCCCACCCTGCACAGTGGCATTGCCTCTATTGTCTCACTCAATGTTCTACACACCTGGGAAGTAGGTGCATGATTGTTCCATTTGAGAGGTGGGAAAACTGAGGATCAGGGAGGCTGAATGATTTATTTGCCTAAATCCACACAGAACTGAGCCTGGAATCCAGATATATGTGATCCTGCCTGAGCGGTTAGCCCTTTGTTCCCCAAGTTTTCTGGATGTGTGCCGCAGGAGGAGAGAGGTTGTGTGTTTACTCAGTGGCAGGGGGAGTGGTTAGGTTTTAGATCTATCCAGTGCCATGAAACAAATCATTTAAACTCCTCGTGCCTCAGTTTCCCTATCTGTAAAGCTGGAACTAGTAATATTACACACCTCACAGGGTTGTGAGGACTGAGTAATTTTATGTAGAGACAGGCACACAGTAAGTGCTCAGTAAGTATTATTACTATTATTTGGGATTTGGTAACAAATGCCATTTATTTATTTTTCCTATTTAATGGACAGAATCTATCCAAATTGCTAAAAGCTTAGTCCAAATAAAAATAACCACTGTCCATGAGTTCTGATCTCCAAAGAAAGAATGCAAGAGCATGTGGAGAGGCTCTGGAGCTGGCGCCTGGGCTCAGTCCTGCCTCTGCCCTCTCCGGGTAATCCAGACCTCCAATTACCGGACTTCTCTCCTCAGCATGTCCCTCTGTAAGATAGCCCTGCAATAGTATCAGCCTCAGAAGGTTGTGAAGAGGTCGGAGGAGCTAATAGATCAGCCTTCAGGACAGGGCCTGGTGCAGAGCCAACGCTGAAGAAGGGGGTGGCATCATCATCATTTTTTCCTGGGTTAACTCCCTACCCCCAGTAGGAGGTGAACACTCAAGGGGTTAATTTTGAGCTGAGCAGTGCCCTGCCAAGTATGGCCACCAGAGGGAGCAGCTGGACCTGAACTGGCCCCTCCAAGCTTGTCAACAGAGTCCACTGCACCCTCCTGAAGCCTGGGGAGGGGGCCCTCTGGGAGTGACTAGGGTGACTCCAGCCCTCAGTAGTCTCTCCTCACCTTCCTACCTGCAGAGCCATCTGGTCCCTATCCTGGTGGCATCCTCCTCACATTCCCTGAGTGGGGAATCTGGGCGGGGCAGGGAGAGGGGGGCTGCCTGGGAGTGGCCAGGAGGCTCCAGCCCTTGGTGGCCCCTCCCCTCCCATGGGGCTATCGCTATCCAGTCCCTTCCCCAGAGCTGCTCTTCCTATGGCCTCTGATCCCCCTACTCATTCTTACCCTGCTTTTGGGCACACCCGGTGCCCATTGTGTCCATTTCTCAAACCACCAGGGAGAAGGAGTGTGGGAGGAGGGAAGAAACACACAGAGAGCTGGAAAGGGGGGTTGAGAGACAAAAAATAAAGACAGACAGAGGGAAACACACACACACACATCACCACCATCACCACCACACCACACAGAGAGAAAGGCCAACAGACTGAGAGACAGACACAGAGAGAGAAAAAAGAAAAAGACAGAAATAGAGTCAGAGCAGAGAAATAGGCTAACTCACTGAGTCAGAAGAACAGAAAGAGAGAGAGAGAGACAGGAAGAAGGACAGGGAAATAGAAATAAACAGAAAATTGGGCTCCAAAGAGATACAGGGAGAAAGACAGACTGAAAGAGAGAACAGAAAGAAGAGAGAGAAGCCAGGGCACAGTGTGCCAGCTGGCGGAATGGAGGGTTGCCTGGCATGGGAGATGTAGTGGCCAAAGCCTGGGCAGAGCTGGGTGGGCAGAGGGGAGCTGGTGCCTCCGCAGGGGTGAGGGGGCATGGGAGGGGCAGGCATTTTGCTGCTGCTGCTGCTGCTGGCTGAGGTGGGGGCCTGGGCAGCCTGGAGACCCCCAAAGGGAAAATGTCCTCTGAGCTGCTCCTGCTCCAAAGACAGTGCTCTGTGTGAAGGCTCCCCGGACCTGCCCGAGAGCTTCTCCCCGACCCTGCTGTCACTGTGAGTGTCAGGCCCTTTGGGGGCCTGAGGGTGGGGATGGGAGTCCTGGTACCCCAGAGGTCGGGGGTAGGGTGCCAAGGAAACAGGGTGTCAGGATCTTGGAAGATGGGCAGCAAAGGGTGTTGGGATGCCTAAAAGGGGGCTGCTGGATTTGAAGGGGCGTCGAAGGGAAATGCCAAAGGGCAGCATCAGCACCAGGGGCCTGGGAGGAGGGATAGCCAGGGGGTGGGCTGAGAGCCACCGGGATCCTTGCCAAGTGAGGCGAGCAAATGCCTGTCTCCCTGCGAAGACATAGGGGAGAGACACCTGGGCCATGGTGGCATGCCAGGTCCCAGGCAGGAGGTGACTGGGATGGGAGTGGAGCAATGCAGTGGGTTTCTCCTCACCCACAATCGCCATGTCCCCAGCTCACTCGTCAGGATTGGAGTTACCCAGCTGAAGGCCGGCAGCTTCCAGAGGGTGCCATCCCTGCACCTGCTGTGAGTGGGGCCCAGCAGAGCTGACAACCAGCTCAAGGGAGTGGGTGCTCATGCACATGTGTGTGGGGCTATGTGCATATGTGTTATGTGTGTGTGTGTGTGAAAGCATCTGTAGCCACACACATACTTAAATCACATATGTGTGTGTGTGTGTGTGTGTGTGTGTGTGTGTGTGTGTGTGAAACCATGCCCATGTGGGCTGAAGGTGGGGGTCAAGGTTAAAATGTCAGATAGGGGGCAGCAATTCTGGAAAATTTTCTTTCTTGCTCCCTTGCCAGCCTCTTCACATTCAACTCCTTCTCCGTGATTGAGGATGATGCATTTGCGGGCCTGTCCCACCTGCAATATCTGTGAGTGTGGCCAGTGGTTGGGCCAGAATGGGGACCTGGGAAAGGAAGGAGGGGCCCCTCGGTGCTCCCAGAGTAGGGGAGGGAGGGGCTGGGTGCCCTGGGGAGGAAATATCTGGACAAGGATCCCTCCTTGGGGGGCAAAGGGCCTGCTCAGCTGTGGCATCTCAGCCTACACACCTCACTTCTCTGTGTGAAGATCCACACAAAGCCCGGAAACCTGAGACTATTTCTGGCCCTACCTGGCTTATGGACACCCAGGGAGAGTGCACGGAAGCCAGAGACAGGAAACAACTCTGGGTTGGTAGTGATGGTAGCGGTTGTGGTGATGGTGATGGTGGTGACGACAGTATGTCAAAGCTGGTATTGGTGATGCTGGTGTTGGTGGTGATGCTGCTGCTGCTGCTCACAAGGAAGCAGTGGCATTACTGAGGATGATGGGGTGGGGATGATGCTGATAAAAACGGTGGACCCAATGGTGATACTGATAATGAAGTTTGAGGGGTTCGTGGTAGGATAATTATCAGTGCAAAGGACTCCGGTAATTCCAGTATTAGTGTTGGTGTTGGTGTTGGTGTGGGTGTGGGTGTGGGTGTGGGTGTGGGTGTGGGGGTGGGTATGGGTGATGGCTGTGGGTAGGATGTTGGTGTCGGTGTTGATGTAATGAATATGTTGTTGGTACTGGTTTGGTGGTGATGGTGGAGTGTTGGTACTGGTTTGGTAGTGATGGTGGAGTGTTGGTGAATTCCAGTATTAGTGTTGGTGTTGGTGTTGGTGTTGGTGTGGGTGTGGGTGTGGGTGTGGGTGTGGGGGTGGGTATGGGTGATGGCTGTGGGTAGGATGTTGGTGTCGGTGTTGATGTAATGAATATGTTGTTGGTACTGGTTTGGTGGTGATGGTGGAGTGTTGGTACTGGTTTGGTAGTGATGGTGGAGTGTTGGTACTGGTTTGGTGGTGATGGTGGAGTGTTGCAGTAGTGGTGCTACGGGTGAGTGTGGGGGATAATGGTGATGTTGGCAATGCTGGTGCTAGCGCTAATGCTTGTCATAATGGTGGCAGTGTTGGTGATGATGGTGGCAGTCATTTGGTGTTGATCATGACGGCTGTATTGTTGGTGATGCTTATTAGTGTTGCCGGTGTCAGAGTTGGTAATGATGGTGTTGTGGAAGTAGGTGGTGATGTTGGTGTTGGTGATGAGGGTGGCAGTATCAGTGACAGTGGTGGCACAGTATGGTGTTAGTGATAAAGACAGTTATTCATACTGGGGTTGATGACAATGGTAGAGGCATGGGTATTGGTCACAATGGATAATCGTGGAGGTATTGGTAGTGATACAGGTGCTGGTATTGGTGA